CTAATGTGCATATTATCAACTAGCACCAAATCCTTAGAATATTTAAGAAAAGTATCTATAGTGGAAGCTAGTTATATACTTTAAAAAGTCAAACAATCTAAAATAGAATATAGTAAATGCAAAATGACTAATCCTGAGAAATTCCTCTAAAATTCTAAATAAAAGTAATATAGATGGTTTATGCAGGAAAATTGGATCTTAAGGGAAAATATCTGATATAATTAAGCAAGAATTAAAAAGAAGAAAAGAAAGAAAGGAAAGGGGAAAAGATAGGGAGGGAGACATTCCAGGCAAAAAGCATATACTACAGGACTGAAGTAGAAATGCAGCAGGCATAATGAAGGAACCGTGTTGGAGCAGATGGTGTATATAAACCAGTGCTCTTCAAATTATGTTTTGATGAGCCCCCACATGGGCTGGTCAGCAAGCAAGTGAGGCAGCCAGCCACTGAAGTCTTCAGGCAAGGCTTGGCTGCAGGTGTATTAAAAAGACTGATCATCAGACAGTGGATATAGGACTGGGCTGGAAACTATCCAGTAAGTCAGATGAGATGGCATGAGCCCAAGTGAAAATAAGTATTGGCCACAAGATTGAAAATAAAGCAGGAAGGATAGATGCATGTACTCTGACCAAGGAAGAACCAACAAGACTAAGTTGCAGATTAGATGAATTTATCTGCCAAGGGAAGCCTGAGACAAAGACCTTTACAAAAGAATGATAGAAAGAAGCATCTCATGTTGCATTTAAATCTGGTGGCACTAGATTATTTGAGAATATGCAAGATAATACCTTGAGTGTGCCCATGTTCTCAAGAGAAACACAAACTGGATTGAAATAATGAACTTGAAAATGTAAAATAGAACTCTGATGGCTTACTTATGGGATTATACCTAACATCAACCGTGAGGATGAACACAGAGTTGCCCTGGGAACCGAGTTCTTGTTTAGATCTTGGGTAGTTATTTTCTTATAAAGTCTAAACTGAAACATTTTGGGGCTGGGTGTGGGAGGGGGGGACCAGGCATAAAGTTTAACTGAAAAGTCCTGAGCTCTGTGGCACAGCTAAAATTCCTATTGACAGAGAGTGGGAGTTGGTGCTTCTGTGGCATTTCCAGGGTAGTCTTGTTAGGTAAGGCAGAATTGTTAGTGATGGGCTTCTAGTTGCTAAGGATAAAATCTGCAACCGAGGACTTAGTATTCCTCCTCTGACCTGGTGACACAAGCCATAAACCAAATGATAAGGAAGTCACCAGAAATTTACTGCCCTCACCTTCCTCAAGTAAATCCTATAAATGAACTAAAAATAGAGATTTAAGTATTTATTCAGTGTAAGAAAGACTTTATCATATGAATAAATACAAATATTTATTCAATATGAAGGGTCACAAATATACTATATATGTTATATACTGATGTGTGTCCTCCTGAAATTCATGTGTTGGTATCATAACCCCTGTTCCTCATTCACGTGTGGAAGTTTTAACTCCCTGTACCTCAGAAAGTGTCTGATTTGGGTCTTCAAAGAGGTGGTTAAGTTAAAATGGCATATTTGAAATAGGTCTTAATCCAATATGATTGTGTCCTTATAAGAAGAAATTAAAACACACAGATTTAAGAGGCAACTGTGTGAGGACAGAGCTAGAAGACTGCGAGCCAAAGAAAGAGTCCTTAGAAGACACAAAACCTACCAGCACCTTGATCTTGGGCTTCTAGCCTACAGAACTGTGAAAAAACAAATTTCCATTGTTTAAGTCCCCTGGAGTGTAATATTTTGTAATGGTAGCCCTAGCATTTTGGCAAATTCATAACCAAAATGGAAAGATAATAACATCTACAAAAATTAACATGTAAATAAACAAAAGAAGGACCTAGAATCAACAACCCTCCAGTAGCAATGAGCATACCTAGCATCCAGATATTGGTTTCAAATACCATTCTTAATAAAAAGTACTGGGGCTCTTTGGGGACATGACTGATTGTAGGAATAGGACAAGAAATATACAAAATGAACCTAGAGCATCATGTTGTGCCAGAAAATAATGAAGTATTCAAGAAAATCTCACAAAAATAGACAATGTCAAATGAACATAGGAGCTAACTGAAAGCTTTCCCAATAGCCAATGCTTTGAGCAACAAAATGAAGTGGTACTCGGCTAGGGATGTGGCTCACTGGTAGATTGTTTGCCTCACGTGCAGGAAGCCCTGGGTTCAATCCCCAGCACCACAATGAACAAATAAATAAAGTGGTATTGGATTATAATTCAGCATGTAAGATAAATATTAATGAGTTCATACTGATAAATAAACATTGAATAAACAAATAACTGAGAGAGTATAGACAAGTGTCTAGTACGGAAAAATTCCAAATAACTTATGTAGACACTCTGCCATCAGTGAGGTAGAGTATAATTCCCATGCACACATGGGTTGTACATGGTGACTTCTTTCAAAAGGGTACAGTATGGAAAGTAGGAGAAAAAGAGTAACTCTACAGTGGCAAAATCTGACAAAACACTGCCTCAGCAAAGTGGTCCGGGTTAACAGTAACAGTCATGAGTTATGTTATAACTGTACCCTTGACATAAAGCGATAGCAATGACACTTGATTTTTGTGGCCTTCCCAGAAACTCATACCTCCATCTGATCATGAGAGGAACAAAAACCAAATTCAAATAGAGAAGAATTCTATATATACTTGATCAGTATTCCTCAAAACTTTCAAAGTGATCAGAAATAAGGAAATTTTGTGAAAATTACATCTAAGGGAACGCTAAGGCATCTAAATGTAAGGTGCTATACTTCCTACTATACAATTCAGAAAAAGGCTACTCTGTAAAAACTAAGGAAATCTAATGTAGTTCCTGTGTCACTATGACAAATATACCATACCAATGTATGATGTTAGTAGTAAGGGAAACTGAGTATGGGGTATACGGGAATTATCTGTACTATCTTCCCAACTTTTCTGTATAACTTGTTCTAAAACAGAATAAACCAAAAATAGACAAAAATATATCACTCTGCAACAACAGTCTAGTATACACTTGAAAGAAATTCAAACTTAACAGTATCCAGAAATGCTTATTAAAACAGTTCTAAGGGCCAGGTGATGGTGGCACATGCCTATAATCCCACCTACTTAGGAGGCTAAGGTAGGAGGATCACAAGAGTAAGGCCAGTCTAGGTCTTAATCTCAAAGAAAAAGGGCTGGGAATGTAGCTCAGTGATAGAGCACTTGCCTACTATGAGTTAAGGCCCTGGGTTCAATCCTCAGTACAGGGGGAGAGGGTACAGTTTTAATTTGTTTTTCTTATTTAGCTGGCAAATCTTTGGTTGTTTTTGTTTCATTTTGTTTTTTCTTTTTTAAAAATATTTATTTATTTGTTTGCTTATTTATTTATTTATTTTTGGTGCTTGGGATTGAACCCAGGGCCTTGTGCATGTAAGGCAAGCACTCTACCAGCTGAGCTATATCCCCAGTCCCTTCTTTTTTTAAAATAAAACGTTTGATTTATAACATAGGAATGTAAAACAGAACAGCTTCCCTGGGAGATATTTCAGTAGTAGGTAAAATATATGTATACTTTTTAAAGCAGTAATATCACAACCAGGAATGAAATGTCAATGATCAGAAAAATGCTTTTCACAGTATTATGTTCAATAGCAAAATCTTGGGGATTAACCAGAATCCTATAAACTCAGGATTGTGAGAATCTCAAAGTACAAGGCAATGCAGATATTAAGAATAATACTGATGAGCTGGGCACCCGTGGCGCATACCTCTAATCTTAGTGGCTGGAGAGGATGAGGCAGGAGGATCGCAAATTCAAAGCCAGCCTCAGCAAAAGCCAGGTGCTAAGCAATTGAGTGAGACCCCATCTATAAATAAAATACAAAATAGGGCTGGGGATGTGGCTCAGTGTTCAAGTGCCCCTGAGTTTAATCCCCAGTTACACCCCCCCGCCCCAAAAAAGAATAATACTGGAGGACAAAAAATGCTATATTACAGGAAAATGCCAGTTGTAAGCTATGTCATAACATTTTTCTATCCATCTATCCATTTGTGTATATCTCTTACACCAGGGAATTAATGATCTGAATAAGTGACACTAAATTCAGTCCTATTAGTTATTTGAAGTCTTTTATAAATACTTATAGAGGTATTTTAATGTATATGGTAATTAATATATCAAGTGTTGTTTCACAGCTCTTTCATAATTAGAAGCCAGTATCATGATCAAGTTTTCATCTCCACAAACTGTGTGTGTGTGTATGTGTGTTTATGTTTTAGGTTTACTATATACAGATAGAGTGGGATTTGCATATGATAAAATATAGTATGTGGTTATTTATGACTGGTAGGATTGAACAATTTTTAATTTACTTTCATGGATTTTCTACATTTTCCAAATGTAATTCAAAGGACCATAGAATATGTTTTTGTGTTGCAAAACAAGATTTAAAAGTCAGTTTTTTAAAAAAAATAAATCTTTCATTCCACAAAACTGGTATCCAAAATATTGAAATATCTTTTTGTTTAAAAAAACATATTTTGACTTTGCTTTTCTAAGTGGATTTAGTTTATACACATAGTTGCCTTCATGCAAATTTACAGTTATAAGTTTACTAAAATACTTTTTTTCTATTAGGTTAATTTTCTTGATTAGCTTTTTGTTAAAAGCTTTTTGCAACCAGACAGGCTTGTTGGGACATGTCTACAGTTCCTGCCATTCAGGAAGTTGAAACAGGAGGTTGTCAAGTTGGAGACCAGCCTCTGAAACTTAGTGACCCTGTCTCAAAATAAAAAATAAAAAGGGTAGGGGTTTTAGCTCAGTGGTAAAGTGCCTGGGTTTGATTCCCAGTAGTGGGGGTGGAGAAGGTGTAGCCCCTGATAGAGCACTTGCCTAGCATGGATGAGGCCCTGGATTAGACTCTCATAACCATAAAATAAAATAGAAGCATTGTTGTGTTTAATTAGTCTTCTCCTTTTTTATTTTTAGACTGGTGTTTGGAATGCTTTATCCTGCATATTATTCATACAAAACTGTGAAAACAAAAAACGTGAAGGAGTATGTAAGTATAGTTTTATGAGTGATTATTTCTCAATTTATCAATGATGCAAAGCATTGTAAAAATTACTGTTCTTTTAGAAACAGCTGGAATAATATGTTGGGTGAAACTGATGTAAATGATTAAAAACTAGCTTTGACAACAACTCCAAAGTGGATCTTAAAAAATAGTTCACTGTTAGTTGGCATCTAAAGAAATATGCTGTTCCCATGATGAGTAATTGGATAGTTCTTAATATAGTCTGTAAATTCCAGTATAATAAGGGTTTGGGGATTTTTTGTTTGTTTGACTTTTGGGGGGAGGGTTGTGGCTTTTCTATCCTTGTAAATTTATAGGTGCACTGAGAATATCTTTCTTTTCCATGCAAAATTCTTTTCCTCTTTCATAGGCCTTTTAACACTTTCTAATTGATTTAAGTATGCAGATATTCTATCACTACTAACAACTGCAATCTTTTTTCTTCTCGAATTGTGCTGTATTTATAATGATTTTGTTTTTAATCCTCAATATTTTTTATTTCAGTTTACTCTTTCCTATTCCTGATTTTTGTTGTTGTTTATTTATTTTCTTTAAGTTCTGCTCTTTCCCAGCCTTAACCATACTGTTTAATAGAAAATGGCCTTTCTCCCATATGAATCCTTGGCATGGTTTACCATGTTTGATGGAGTGAAATTTCAGAGAAAATTTTCTTATTCTGAATGTTGCCTACAAATAGAATTGAATAATCTGTGACCTTTTGTGACTAGCTTCTTTCACTTAGCATATGTTTTCAAGGTTCATCCATGTCTTAGTGTGTATCAGTGTTTCATTCTTCTTTGTAGCTAAACAATATCCCATTGTATTGATAAATGAAAAACACATTTTGTTTATTCATCTATTGACAGACATTGGAATTGTTCTGTTTTGCCTATTATGAATAGAGCTGCTTATGTATAAGAATTTGAGTACCTGTTTTTTAACTCTTTCACATATATAGCCGTAGTTCTTTGTAAAGAATCTCAAACAGAAGTCTTGTCATCCAACCCATCAAATGATCAGAATTCAGATCATAATTATTCTATATTTTGGGTTTTAGGGAAGAAGCAATAGACCTTTATAACTAACCTATTCTACTGAACTGTTATTGACATTTTTTTCTCTTTACGTGAAACTGATTTTTGTAATGAACTATATTTTACTAATCGATTCAAATAGTGGAATAAATTTAGCAGAGGTAAAGAACTTAGTTGAACAGTGAAGTTTTTCTATCCTTATATAGATTTCTTGAATTTAGAATTAGTGAAATCACCTTAAAAGATGGAACCACATTAAGTTCTAGTCATTTAAATTCATCTTATAGGGCTGAGGTTGTAACTCAGTGGTAGAACACTTGCCCAGCACTTGTGAGGCACTGGGTTCGATCCTCAGCACCACATTAAAAATAAACAAATAAAATATTATAAACAAATAAAATATTATGTCCATGTACAACTAAAAAAAATTAATAGATAAATTTCTCTTAAAGTACTTGAAGAATGTATTTTAACATATAATAAATATTTCAAGAATTATTTTATAGCACAGACCTATATTAGTTTTTTAGAAGCCAGCACTTAGTTTCATTAACAATGCTTCTCAGGCTGCCTATTGGGAAAGACCAGTTTTGTTTTGCTTTTTCCAAGAAGTCATTGACCAATGTTTTTGAAAAATAAAATAAAATAACTAGTAATTAGAAAAAATGAAATAAAAAAACGTGAAATACAACCCAGATTTTTTTATTACTCATTTCAATAGACATGAAATTACTATCAATTTTTATACTTTAGCAATATAGTAATACTTCACATCCTTGCACAATTCCCTAGACAATACTCTGCCCTACTATGAAATAATTTAATTGGAATTCTGTTTTGAATGGTTAAAAACAAGAATTTCCCACCATTTTTAAACACCATGAAAATATGAATAGTGGAGTATACAATTGACTAATGCTTACTGAAAGTGAATCGTTTCCTATTTGGTTTACTTTTTGTTTGATTTGGTTTGGTTGGTTGGTGGGTTTGAATTTTTTATTTTGTTTATTTGTTTTTTGTTTTTCAGTACTGGGGATTGAACCTAGGCCTTGTGCATGCTAGGCAAGCACATTGCCTCTGAGCTACATCCCTACCCTACCTCTCCCTATTTGGAATATTTTTGATGCTATTATTAAATGAGATCTTTATCTGATTAGTTGTACAGTTGAAGTACAGGGTAATATGCCTCTCAACAGTGTTACCTATAAAGCATTCCAGAGACCCAAGATATGCAACAATTGGTGTGACTTTGTGTACATACTTGTATTTAAGATACTCTCTTGTGTCCTCTTCCAAATTTGCTTGATTTTTATTGGGGAAAATGTTGAAGTATAAGTTGAAAGTGACGTTTGGCTCAGAGGCTCTTATCAGCAGATAAGAAATATTACCCCCTAAAGTAAAAATAAAAGGGAAAGGGAAAGAAGGAAGCAATAAGAAATATGAAAGTATTAAATAAATTGTAATAAAAACAAGTCGAGGGGCTGGGGATGTGGCTCAAGCGGTAGCACACTCGCCTGGCATGCGTGCGGCCCGGGTTCGATCCTCAGATCCTCAGCACCACATACAAACAAAGATGTTGTGTCCGCCGAAAACTAAAAATAAATATTAAAAAATTCTCTCTCTAAAAAAAAAACAACAACAAAAAAAAACAAGTCGACCTGTGTGTGCAAATGATGCCAAAAAAAGAAGAAAAAATGTGTTTTATGGACTGACCTAAGAACCATTGTAAAAAAACTAGTCCATTTATCACTATGCATCAATTTTACTTCATTAATTTTAATTTTCAAAGACTTGAGAAGATGCTTAATTTATTTATTTATTTACTTATTTATTTATTTGGTACTGAGGATTGAACCCAGGGGTATTCAACCATTGATTCAATCCCTAGCCCTTTTTTATATTTTAATTAGAGACAGGGTCTTGCTGAGTTGCTAAGTACCTCACTAAGTTGCTGAGGCTGGCTTTGAACTCAAAGTCCTCCTGTCTCAGCCTCCGGCTACAGGCATGCACCACCATACCCATTCCGGATTTTTATTACTAATTCTGCTTTGTAAATTTAATTTGGCCTGTGAAGAAAATTCATGAACATTCTTAATCAAAATCAATAAAGTTTGATATATTTTGATATATATCCATGTATGTATATGTGTGTTTATTTAACATGTTGTTTTGCATTGCTGTTTTTATGTTGTTGTAATGCTTTTTATCAGATCATTGCCTTTTTTCAGCATTGGGTATTGAACTCAGGGATTTGTTCATTACTAAGCAAGTGCTGTACCACTGATCTATACTCCCAGCTGAATGTAGAATTGTTTCTAAAGAATAACTAATCATTAACAAAGTAAGAAATATCTTATGCAATTTTGCTATAATTCTGTTACCCCCCAAAAAAGTTTTCTTAACCGTTCCTGTGGGAAAACTAGAGTAACTGGTACAATAAACTAGGGAACTAGAAAGGCAAGTGGCTAGAGCTGGTTTGATAATTACATGGTAATTAGCACTGTTTCATAAGTAAAATGAGTTGAAAACCAAAAATAGTCAGGCACTGCAACAGGAAGGGCAGGATTTCAGCCTTTGAGAAGGAAACACAATATATAATTATGTTTATTTTACTAAATATAAAACACTAAAATATAAAAAAGGGCTGGAGATTGGCTTGGTTATCTCCTGGTAACCTAGTTGTCTAACATCAAGGCTGTTAAACTAAGTTGAGATGTCATCTTGTAATAATAATATCTTTTATATATATGATTTTCTACCAATATCAAAATAGTTTTGCATATTATTATTTCCAATTACTGCTCTAACAAATACCACACTCTTAGAGGCTTAAAGTGACATAAAATTATACTGATGTAGTCCGAGAGGTCAGAAATCTAGAATGGGTCCACAGGGCTACATTCCTTCTGGAGGCTCTAAGGGAAACTATCTGCTTCCTTTTCTAGCTTCCATAGAGTAGTTCTTAGTTCCACATGCTTAGCTATTTACTTTCCAGCTTCCTTGGCTTAGTTCTCTGTTCCTCAGTCTTCAAAGCAGTCAACTTTGGACCTTTTAATGCTTCCAGGTCTCTTATTCTTTCCTTCTGCCTCCCTCTTCCTCTTACAAGGACCTTTGTGACTGCACTGGGCCCATTTGAGTAATCTAGAATAATCTCCCCCTTTCAAGGTTGTCTAATTAACAGCCTGAATTGCGTCTGCCCCACCCCATACCTTCCCCTCCCCCTTTACCATGTTGCCTAACATATTCATAGTTCCTAGGGATTGGAACATGGATATTTTGGAAAAATAAGGCTTCATTCTGCCTACCCTCATAATATCCCACTCATCCTTGCTGTAGCCCTATTAAGTAGGCAAGAAAGATATTTCTGAATAATGAATGAAGGGGTAAATAAATAAGAAAAGGAAAAAAGTTGACTTTAAATGTATATCAAATATTAAATGATGTTTATAAGAGCATGCACATTTCTTAAGTGGATTGATCTACCTTCTCAGCTTTGATTCTTCTGGGTTAGGGCATATATATAATCCAGTCTGAACACTTATCCCAAAGCCTAGTTTCTCTGTGGCATTTGGTTATGACCTAAATTCTGCTGATATCTACTTCAAAACTATTTTCTAAAAGCAAACATTTTGGTTAATTTACTTCATCCCACCCTAACTACTACCATTCCCCTTACGCCTGCAAGTGGTAGATTGCACCTGATAAAACAGATGCTGTGTTCAAATCAAAACAAATGGAAAGTTGCTGTGTATTTTGGCAACTTTCCTTTCTTCCTTTGCCTATTTTTAAAACAGAGCTTTCCTAGGATATAATTTCCTGTATAGTGTGGCTGATATGGCCTACTTAAAGACTTTCAGTCTTGCAGTAATTGAAATGTAAACTTACTGAAGAATTAGTATGGTTTTGCAAATTTTTTCAGGCTCATACTGTATTATGACTTGAAAATAGAGT